TATCTTGGAGTGTCTTTGTTTATAGTTCTTAGTATGGGAGACTGAACTGGAGTCATAGATGGAGTTCATGTGTCTGATAGTTCTCTTATTTTTGAAATATCCATGGGAGGAAATTTTTATTGGCACTAATAAATAATTTACCAGTGGTGGCCTGTGCTGTGCTGGCAGGTGGGTGTTTACTTGCATATACAGGACATTCTACTTTGGCACTTACTCTCAAGATGTAGTTTCTTGAGGCAAAATTCTCCTTATAAAATCAATTCATGCAGGCAAAGCATAGCCTGAATGTTACTATTCTGTTTAACAGAGTAGACAAAGACAGGGCATAGGTGTTTCTCCATATATATTTAAAGAGATTCTACAAAACCCAACTTTGATAGTAAAAATTTACAAATAGACCATGTGGAAGTAGGATTAATAAAAATGTTAGTTTCAGTGATACCATTTCTATAGTTTTTTAAGTTACAAAAAGTGGGAAGAGACTACCCAAAACAAATCCCTAAGAAGTCAAACATAGTTTAGAGTTGCATCTTTTATGACTTGAGTTTCTGATAAATACAGTACATTTACACCAAAGGAATAAGCAAGTTTTAAAATTGTTTTTTTATATTTTCCCTTTACTTAAACTTTACAAAATTAAAATTTTACTGTTAGAAGTGATAAAACATGCACTTTTCTAAATAGGAACATAGATAATGTATATATTGACCACACATTAGGAAGAGGAAAAATTTAACAGTTAAAAGAGAAAACAATTAACCTAGAAATTACATAGAAATTTCCTTCATAGCTTCCCCGTACAGAGGAAAGTGAGACAAGACATAGATGTATGTCTGTCAATGTAGTACTGAGAACTTAAGCAGTCCAAACGGATGTTAGCATGTCGGGAAAGCATAGTAAATCTCATCTCTTCATATTGTATTTTTTCAAATATATTTTAAGAACTCTCAACTATTATTCGGTTTTTTTTTCCCTGTAGCTTATTTTCTTTTTTGTTACTCTTCTTTTTTTATTTTATTTATTTATTTATTAAAGATTTCTGTCTTTTCCCCACCGCCGCCTCCCCTTTCCCTCCCCTTCCCCCAATCAAGTCCCCCTTCCTCGTCAGCCCAAAGAGCAATCAGGGTTCCCTGCCCTGTGGGAAGTCCAAGGACCACCCACCTCCATCCAGGTCTAGTAAGGTGAGCATCCACGAAACTGCCTAGGCTCCCACGAAACCAATAGGTACAGTAGGATCAAAAACCCATTGCCATTGTTCTTGAGGTCTCAGTAGTCCTCATTGTCCACTATGTTCAGCGAGACCAGTTTTAACCCAGGCTTTTTCAGACCCAGGCCAGCTGGCCTTGGTGAGTTCCCGATAGAACATCCCCCTTGTCTCAGTGTATGGGTGCACCCCTTGCGGTCCTGAGTTCCTTGCTTGTGCTCTCTCTCCTTCTGCTCCTGATTTGGACCTTGTTACTCTTCTTCTTCTTTTTTTTTTTTTTTTTGTTATTAGTACTTAAGTGTTTTTAGCTCCAGTGTATGAACTGGCGTTGTGGATCCCATTCCATATGGTAGGATATCTTGCTCAGCCTAGATACAGGGAGCAGAGCCTTGGTCTAGCCTCAGTGTGATATGCTAGACTTTGTTGACAGCCCATAGGAGTTCTTACACTCTGTAAGGAGCTAATGGGGGTGGAGTGGGTGAAGAAGGTGTAGCAGGGGGATGGGAATGAAGGAGAACTGAAATTGGTATGCAAAATAGAGAAGATGGTTTAAAAAATAAAATTAATTTATTTTTATAAATATGTGTAAATAAATTTATTTATTTATTATGTATACAATATTCTGTCTGTGTATATGCCTGCAGGCCAGATATGTGTAAATAAATTATGTAAATAAGTATACCTGAATATATGTGTGTACATCATGTAGGTGTTAGAGTCCATTTGTTCAGAAAATGGTATTGGATGTCCTGAAAGTGGAGTTACTGGTGAGTGTGAACTTCCATGTATGTACAAGAAACTTAATCTGGGTCCTCTGCAAGAGTAATAAATGCTTGTAAGATTTTTTTCTCCAGCTCCAAGAAACATACAAATAAAAATACAAGCATTTGACACTTATAAAGGCTTCTGGTCATACACAAAATATTTTAAAGTTGTAACTGCAGACAGAAGTTTCTGTCCTGTCCAGTCTTGTAACTGTTCAATCCCAAAGAAACATACAGACTTATAATAGGTGTAAACTTTTTGAACTATGAGCTCAAACTTATTATTAACTAGCTCTAAAACTTAAATTAACTCATAATTCTGGTCTATGTCTAGGCACATGGCTTTCTACATTTTCTAAGTGAGGCATTCTCATCTTACTTTCTCTGCGTGTGGCTGGTGGCCACATCTGTTCCTTTGTACTTCCCAAAATTCTTAGTCTGGTATCTCTGCCTATAATCCCTGCCTGGCTACTGGTCAATCAGCGTTTTATTATACCAATATGAGTGACAAATCCTTACAGTGTTCAAAAGCATTATGCCACAGCAAGTGACTGGTGAAAATATTTTTACATGAAATGCTTATAAAATACCACAGATGTCTTCAGAATATCTTCAAAGAACTGAAATAAATTATTTTGACTATACTATTTATGTAGTAATTTGAACAATAAACGTAAAAAACAGAGTCAGTTTTAGAACACCAAGTAACAGAATTTGTCTGAGGAGATCGTCACCCAAAAAACAATAATTTCTTTTGGATGCCTAGTGTAATCCTAGATAGAATTTCTGAGCTATTAGATGAATAAGTAGAAAGAAAATTGACAAGCACATGGGCTAATCTACACTATTTTCCCCCTATTTCTAAAGATGATTTCTTTTAGGATTTAATATGAGGATATTTTAAGAATGAACACAGCCTGGGCTCCGCTGCTTGGCGGCTTCTGCCAGATCCTGTTTGCGGGAACGGCTCACTGTGTCTGACAAGTCTGGAGGCAAATGCAGCCGCTCAATGGAGAACAGCTTCCTTTTTAATTTAAAAGCTAAGTCTTTGACATCCGATTCATCACAAGTCAAGTTATTAAGCCGGGGAATCTTCCGTATATAGATCAAACCATGATAATCTTATATAATGGGTTTGTTTCTTTCTCTGAACCAATAAAAGATTCCAGACCAACTGCAGTATCTGACAAATTTCTCACACGAGTAATAATTGCTTCATTGGCTGGAGGCGGGAAGCACCTGGACTTCTAGGGAATCCTCCTTAGTAACTGCATGCGGAATTACCTGACGCCTAATTATGATAGCAAATAGCTTATGTAAATATTTTTCTTAATGATTTGACCCTCCAGTCTTTCAAAAACACGGGATTACAAAATGGAGCCACCATTCCTCAGTTTGGATTGTTTCACTGTTTGTTTTTTCCACCGATTTTTGTACAAAAATAATACAGTAGAAATACTGTCATTTGACATTTAGCTGCTGTTGTGTATTTTAAAAATTTAAAAATACTAAATTCATTTTTAAATAAACACCCCCGCAAAAAAAAACTCAAAAAAAAAAAAGAATGAACACAGGATCTATATACTTAGAAGAAATGTTCGCTTGCCTTAATGTCACTTTGCTTTCTCTGGCAAATAGTATCGATGTTTCTTTGAACTTCAAAAATCTGCATTTGTGGAGCCTAGGCAGTTTAGATGCTCACCTTACTAGACCTGGATGGAGGTGGGTGGTCCTTGAACTTCTCACAGGACAGGGAACCCTGACTGCTCTTTGGGCTAATGAGGGAGGGGGACTTGATTGGGGGAGGGGGAGGGAAATGGGAGACGGTGGCGGGGAAGAGTCAGAAATCTTTAATAAATAAATAAAATTTTAAAAAAACAACCAAAAATGTGTATTTAAATGAAAACATATATTAGTACGGTTTTCCAATATAAGAAAATTGTTTCTGTTAAAAACACAAGCATTTCCAGGTAGGATTTTAATAACTGATAAAAGTTGTTGATGAAAATAAAATACTATAATAAAAAGCACCCATTCAAACTGTAACAACAACAGCAAGGCAAACAGACAAATAACAACAAAAACCCAGTGACTATATCTATGTGAATTTCACACAAAGTAAATAAGAGCCCAAATTAATGGCTATGGTAAATCTTTTATATATAAAAATATTTTACTCTGGCTAGAAACCTACCAATTTCCAAATCTTTGCACCAATTTTATATTTCAAAAGAACAAGGTCAAGGGGGTAAGTGATTGGGAATATTAAGAAATGCACAATCAAATTGGGAGATCCTTAAAGTATTACCACAAATAATTATTAAGGACCAAATGAACATGTCAGATAGTGTGTCTTCTAAAGAATTTGAACAGTACAGTACTCTTCGGTCAACAGGACTAAGATCACATAGGAAACATTTATTCTTGTATTCATCTCATTTTTATACTGTGAACATTTATTACTTGAAACTTCCTGTTATAAAAAGGTTCTAATCAGCACGTGTGAATGTTTCTCTGTACCTTTCTGAATGAAAAAAAGTATTTTAAGCTATATTATGCAATTTTTACCACCTTTTCCTGTAGAAATGTTCTACTCATTTTATACCAAATGATTACAATTCCCCTCTACAGGTGTATGAGGAAACATGTCACTAAACATGTTTTTCTTAGAAGTTTTGTCTTTTTTAAAAAGTCATATTTAACAATAGTTTATTATTTGATAAACAAGCATATCGCAAATCCTATGAACTTAATATTTTCTTCAAGCATCACATTGTGGGTGCTAAATTTAGACCTAACAATAGGCATTTGATCCAGTGAGATGGTTCCCATTATGGTCTCATCCATCTTATTGACTCAGTTTTTCTCACTAATTAGAGACAAGATAAGCTGATCTTTAAAATTATTTTATAGTCTCGTACCCTTGTAATTTACATAAATGACTCAGAAGAAATTTGAAAGTAGGAGGATAGGTTGAATATTGAGAAAACAAACTGGTGAGTTATGTTGCAATACAAGAGGCCGCAAAGCAGCAGCTGAGGGAAGGCAGTGGCTTGTTAAGGACACCAGGGTGGTGGTGCCCAGTCCACCGGCAGTCACCTTGGAGATCAGATTACAAAGCTGACAGAAATCATATTTATAATTATATAAGGTTTCCAAGAGTGAATGTTGAAAGGATGAGGTTATAGAAAATTATAAAACTCAAAATCTGGTCTTTTTTTTTTTTTCAACTGAAGAGAAACTGAAACCAAAACTTTGAAATTCCACTTGTTTTATAAACTGGCAACCACTGAACAAACGGTAGGTCTGGATGATTTTTATTTATACGAGTTACTGTGGTAATTTTAAAACTACATGCATTTTTTTATTTTACTTTCCACCTGTTTGTACTTAAGTAAACGTTGTTTGTGTTTCATTATTTAATGGTTTCACCGTCCTTTTTAGGTTTTAGGGTTTCATGGTCTTTTATCGGTTTGTTGACAGATCGTGTTCGCTTGCCCCGCAGCACAGAATGTACTGTTTGTGTTGGACACACTCCAGAGCCTTGGCTCAAAACTTATCTTTAATCCTAGGGTACTGGCCTTCGTGTGCAACTTATGCTAAGCAGAAGTTTATATATTTTTCTGTTGGGTGGTATTGGTGGATAAATACTTACTGATTCAAGACAGAATCCAACGTACAATTCAGAGAAATTATGAATTATTTTAAGTAAAGCAGCCATAACTTCAATAATTTTTATGTAATATTATCTTCCTAACATTTTAGAATATTAAAAACTGGAAAAATAAAGCATGGACACTTTCAACACTTAGAGATAGTGTCAATGAGTTATAGATGATAAAATTACATATGAAGATTAAAGAAACTCTAATATTTTAATGACCCTGAAACTAAATTGTTCATTATAAAGGTATTTTACTATGAGACTTCTAGGCTACTAACTACTAATAACAAGAGAAGCTAAGCTGCCTATTGTTGATCATCATTAATTCATTTTCATAATGTCTTAGTGTGCCATCAATTTCAGGAAGAATCCAATATGAATAACTTTGTAAACAATTGGCATTTACATATGCAAACAGTAAATATAAAGCTATAAGTACAAATTAGTGTTTGCTACTTTTTTAAATATTTAGACCAAATTTATTCTAATTATATGACTTTCCTATCCATAAATACAGTTTAAGCTAAATGCCAAAATTTAAGTTTGATTCATTAAGAGGAATTCTGAATTTATAATTGAGTCCTTCCTCTTTCATATTTATACTGAAATAAGAAGGCACCCATTTTATAAGTTTGATTATAAAAATGATTTTGATAATATTATGTTTAATTTTCAGTTAGATATTTTATTTTATTTTTTTTAAACAATCTTCCTTTAGTTTACATATCAATCCCAGTTCCCTCTCCCTCCTCTCCTCTCACTCCTCCCATGTATTCCCCCCCTAGCCCCTGTCCACTCCTCAGAGAGGGTGGGTCCTCCTAAGGGAAGTCAACAAAGTCTGTCCCATAACTTGAGGCAGATAAAGGCATGTTCGCTCCCCTGTCTAGGCTAAGCAAGTCATCCTTCCATAGGCAATGGGCTTCAAAAGCTCAGTTTATGTCTAGGAATAAATATTGGCTCCACTGTCAATGTCCCTACAAGCTGCCCAAGCCACACATCAGTTAGATTTCTTAATGTTAGCTAATATTTTTATTTTTTCTTACATATTTTAACTTGCTTTATGCATATTTAAGAAATATTATACTATTCAAATAATTACTAAGCTTGGGTTGTCAGCATTTTTACCTCATATTCTTATTATAAACCTGTAATTGCTGCCTACAATACATAGGTGATTTATATTTCACAATAGCCTATCGAATGCCTTTTGAGTCACTACAGGAAATGAGGCTCCACAAAAGTTATGATGAGGACCAAGAAACATTACATAATCTGTTTTCCTAAGTATGCACTGTGTATGTGTATTGTGATACTACAAAGTATCTATAAATATTGTACATGCTTTCTTGAAAATTTAAGTATCTAAGATTCTTGAGAGAAACTGTTTTCTTGTTTAGATGATATCAAATTTGAATATTCATATATATATGTATATATATATATATTTGAACTCAAAGCCACATATTTACTAGGCAATGGACTATGTCCTTAGCTCTATTTGACATTATTATTACTTAAAATTTCTTATTTATATACAAGGTATTGTGAACAGATTTCCTTCCCTTTTATCTTTTCTAAGTCTTATACCCACAGTTTTAATGTCTTTTGTAACTAGTCCAACTTCTTTTTTTTTTTATTCCTCTGTGCAAGTCATGGGCATATGATCATATTTGCTATGTGTTTACACTTCCAAAATCATGTTTAATCCATAAGGCAAGGCATTACAGTGTTTAACTCTGCCCTCCAGATCTTATATTCTTCTTTTTAATTTTTTATAAAAAAAAACAAACTATATTTTACATACCAACCCCAGTTCCCACTCTCAAGCCTCCTCCCATTCCCTCCATTTCCCTTCTACCCTACCTTCCATCAGAGAGGATAAGAAATATGATTTGGGGAATGTCCAGGGCCTTCCCTACTATATCTTTGCTGAGCAAGATATTCCTCCAGAGAGAATGGGCTCCCAAAAAGCTAGTACAAGCTGTAGGGTTATATCCTGGTGCTACTGCAAGTGGCACCACAGTCTGCCCAGTCATACAACTGTCACCCACATTCAGAGGGTCTGGAGTTGGTAAGCTCCCATTAGCTCACATAAATTGTTGCAGTGAGTGTACTCATCGTGTAAACTGGTTCAGTGGATGAACACCTCATGGTCTTGAGCTCTTTGCTCATGTTCTCACTCCTCTCACTCTTCAACTGCACTTGGGAAGCTTAGATCAGTGCTCTGCTGTGGGTCTGTGCCTTTGTTTCCATCAGTTGCTGGATGAAGGTTCTAATCTGACATTTAAGATATTCATCAATCTGACTACAGGGCAAGGCCAGTTCGGGCACCCTCTCCACTATTGCTTAGAGTCTTAACTGGGGTCATCCTTGTGGATTCCTGAGAATTTCCCTAGTGTAAGTTTTTTTTACTATCCCCATAATGGCTCCCTCAATCAAAATATCTCTTTCATTGCTCTCATCTCTGCCCTTCTTCCACCTCTACTATCCCATTCACTCAAGTTCTCCTACCCCCATCCTTCTCCTCTCTGCTCCTCTTCAGCCTTCCCTTCTCCCCCTACCACTATGATTCATCAGTCAAAGACAACATTAAAACCAACAAATTCTTAGATATTTTTTAAAAAATGAACAATTATTTTATATTTTTGGATGTTTTGCTTGCATGCTTATCTTTGTAACATGTGCATGAAGTACCCTCCGAGGCTAGAAAAGGAAGTTGTATCCTCTAGAACTGGAGTTGCAGAGAGTTGGGAATTACATGTCGGTGCTGAGAATCAAACACAGGTCCTCTGGAAGAGCAGAGGACACTATTAATGCCTGCAACATCAGCCCAGTCCCAAGCTCTTACTGTATTTCCAGACCGTCGTCCATGATGTTTTCTGGAGCCCATTGTGGATAATATAGAGTGGGGGCTGAGCTCAGTCCTTTGAAGTGTTATGAGTCATTGCTTTGACTGTCTCCTATTGCTAAAAAGTTCTTTGTCTAGGGAGAGACATACATCAATCTTTAGTGGTAAACATAAATATGTAGAAAGGAATTCAACTGCATGTGTATTTAACAAAGCATGGGTAATAGCTACTATCATAGGACCCATGATCTCCCAGGCCATAAATAATTGAGCAGGTATACAACACTGTGTTTTATTTTTGAAGAAGAAAAGAAAGTTTTCTTTTGGTAGGATGTTCCTTTTCCTATTTTAATCCTCCTGAGCCATGAGCATGGTGCTCTTTCCATCTTCTGATATCTTCTTCACTTTCCTTTTTTAAGGACTTCAAGTTTTTGTTGTCCAAGTCGTTCACTTGCTTGGCTAGAGTTACCTCCAAGATATTTTGTATTGTTGGAGGCTGTTGTGAAAGTTTTTCTCTGATTTTTTTTTCTCAGTCTGTCATTTGTGAATAGGAGGGCTAGTCATTTTTAAATCTTGTTTCCAGTCACTTCACTGATTATGTTTATCAGATTTAGGAGTTCCTTGCTGGAATTTTTGGGGTCACTTTTATATGCTCTGGTATAATCTGCAAATCTCCATCAGTTTTCTTACTGCACTAGTTAGAACTTAAAATACTGTATTGAATAGATATGGAGAGAGTGTACAACCTTTCATGTTCTTGATTTTAGTGGAGTTGCTGTGAAATTTTCTCCATTTAATTTGATTAAACAAGTAATTACTACTAATAGGTATTGTATTGTAAAGTAAAACAGAAATTTTGCTGAAATAAAAATACACTGACTTTCAGTTAGACATATTATCAAATTCTGCCATTGTCAATTATTATATAAGCCAAATTGACTTAGTTACCCTGGTTCTGTGTATGTTTTTGTGTATAACGGAAGTCTTAGAATTGACTCTACTATATAGTTTCTGGTATAGCGTTCATTTGCGAAAAATGAGGAACTTAGTGTATGTCTATTACAGTCATTTACTGAGAACATAAGAAAATTAACTCATCATTTTCTAGAAGTAGGAATATTATGTCTGATGTAAACCTTTACTACAGTTTGGGTCAGAAAGGGTAATGTGTAAATATTAATATATTTATAATACAAATCAAACAATTCAAGAATATAATCCCGAAGCTTGTCACACATAAAACATTGACTAATTTTACCTGAAAATATAAAAGGAGACTAAAACAAAAATGTTTTTCAGTTGAATGTGTACCATTTTCCTTAGGGGAGTGGGTCATAGGAAGAACATGGATTATCATGGAAGTGTGGAATTGCCTGTGAAATATGAAAAAGTATAGTTTTGTTAAAGGTAGTGTTCATGCAGTTTGTTGGGGTAAGAAGCAAAAAGGAGCATCAGAGGAATAACTAAACCTGTATCAGTCTTGTTATTCTTCTCAGGTCTGATACGTTCTCCTTTATTCTCCTTAATAAGTGGTATTATCTTCAAATACGTAGACGTTTAGCATTTGTCTTTTTCTTGTTATTAGGCTCTTGTGGACCATATTATTAGTAATACTTTACAGTTTGTAAATAACTAGTACTCGAATATTGATTTATGTTAGCTTTTATTTCATTATACTCTTTCCGCTTTATTTTCTATTTTTTAATTTTCAGGAATAAAGTGGTTGTTAGAAAAAACACTAACAACATCATAGCAAAATGAAATTCTTCCTACTGTTTTCCTTCATTGGATTCTGCTGGGCTCAATATGAGCCACACACTGAAAAAGGACGCACCTCTATTGTCCATCTGTTTGAGTGGCGCTGGGCTGATATTGCCAAGGAATGTGAGAGATACTTAGCTCCTAATGGATTTGGAGGGGTGCAGGTAATATTTGTTCATAATTTAAATGCGGAGTTCACGGTGCTTATATAAAATTGTTTTCCATTATATTTTTGATTATTTTTAAGCAATATTTTACTTCACATATAACTTTCTTGACGAAGAAAAAAGTTTAGGGGATGGTAAGTTTGTATCTTGTTTTAGGACACCCGGAGGCCCTCTCCATTGTGCTGTCAATGTTTTTAGTGGTTCTAACACAGCAGATCTACAAGTGCACACCTAAGAATAGCAGGATCATTCACAGTTGGTTCTGAAGGATTTATTTATGTAAGTAAACCATAATTATTCTGATAATCTTAATTGTTTTATTTGTAGGTCTCTCCACCCAATGAACATCTTATAGTTACCAATCCTTCAAGACCTTGGTGGGAAAGATACCAACCAATTAGCTACAAAATATGTTCAAGGTCTGGAAATGAAGATGAATTCAAGGATATGGTGATTAGGTGTAACAATGTTGGGGTAAGTGAAGTCATATTTCTTTTGAAGTTATTATCTGAAAAACCATTTTCTGTCTTATGTTTTCTATTATTCTTGAAAATGAACTTTCAGACTTTATTTTTTTCTTAAATTTTAGCTACAACTCAAAATTTACTTCTGCCTAATGGTCAATTCTGAAAAATTCTTTCATATGAACCATTTAAAGGGAAGTTTAGGGGATGGAAACTTGGTATCTTGTCTTATGACAACAGGAGGCTCTCTCCATTGTAATGTCAACATTTTAATGGTTCTAACAAAAACTTTTATTATTTATCTGTATAACCACACTTATTTTCTACAAACCATTTCTAGTTAAGTATTAGATTTCTTAAATGCAGTAACTTACTTTCAATTTATAGTAAATAGCTGTTTCTCGTTTTAATAATGAACAGTATCTACCATTCTTTTTCCTCAGAGAGTAAAACTCACATTAACTCCTTTCAAGAAAATAATTAAGAAACCTTATTATATATTTATTAAAAATGATGCTTTTCATTTGATCTTAGTGAAAACAGTTTCTGATTTTCTACTTATCAGCTTTATAAATCCTCAAGCTAATATTAGGACTGTTCATGATTGTCATTTCACATTGGTTTTCTTTCACACTTGACTTTTTTCTTTTCTAAAATTAAACTATAAAATAGCATATCTATCATCTATCTCTCTACCTGTCTGTTGTCTATCTACCTATCTATCTATCCAACCATCCACGCATCTATATATTTGAGTGTTCTGTGTAGTCTAATTATATACATTTTATCTTTCTATTTTAATTTGAATAACACACTTTTCTGTTCAGGTCCGTATTTATGTGGATGCTGTCATTAACCACATGTGTGGAGAAGGGGCTCAAGCAGGAACCAGCAGTACATGTGGAAGTTATTTCAACCCACAAACCAGGGACTTCTCTGGAGTTCCATACTCGGGTTGGGATTTTAACGATGGCAAATGTAGAACTGGAAGTGGAGGCATTGAAAACTACAATGATGCTGCTCAGGTGAGGAGAATGATCAGCATAAAAAATTCTCTCCTCAGTATGCACATAGAACTTTTGGAATACTATTTGCAAATGTAGTTTAGATTCCTTAAATAATGCATTACTAGAAATGCAATTATTAGAAATGCAAATAAATCTTCAAAAACATTTTAACATTCTTTTAGTTATTTGATGTCTCAAAGTGTGATTCTTGTCCCACATTAAGAGAAAGATATATAGAATGGAAAAGATAGAGGAACACCAGTGCTTTTGTCAATCAACTATAATATTACCTATGTCATTTCCTCATAGTTAAATCTCCATACTGGAAAATCTTCGTAGGGTGTATTCACAGTAGAATGTGAATGTTCAACCTGTCCCATGAATAGGCTTTATGAAGCTTCCTAATAGACCAATTGGTGGATATATGACTAGTCAAATGGAATGTGAGGTGACAGGTGACATTTAAATCAATCACCAGTTTGTTTGGCTTGTTTATTTGTTTCTTTCAATAGGTCAGAGATTGTCGTCTGGTTGGCCTTCTGGATCTTGCACTTGAGAAAGATTATGTTCGTGGCAAGGTGGCTGACTACATGAACCGTCTCATCAACATGGGTGTAGCAGGGTTCAGACTTGATGCTGCTAAGCACATGTGGCCTGGAGACATAAAGGCGATTTTGGATAAACTGCATAACCTAAATACACAATGGTTCTCTGAAGGAAGCAGGCCTTTCATTTTTCAAGAGGTAAATTAATACACGTGTGTATATATAAATGACATCAGATTTGCTAGCCAGAAGATGGATGGAAGATTTTATTAAACATAATTTCTATAGGTTAATATCTGAATACCTTATTGAATGTGCAATTTCTTTAACTCCCTTTTATTTAAATATAATAGACTTAATGTTTTTCCAGAATAAGGCTTTAAAGGAGTTAGAGAATTTGTGTAGGCTGCCATATTACTGGATTAATTAGTGTATACTCAGGGATGATTACACCAGGCAGAAAATCTTAGTTATTGACTCCAGCCTGTCTTTCTGAATTTGTCTCTTGTCTGAGGTATTATTCAATGTATAAAATTTGGGCAAACAGATTAATATTTATGTACACATTTTTCATGTGAAGAGGTTAGCACAGTTTTGTATTTGATATCTTTGGAAAACTAAATGAATTTTAATTGCTGAACTTATCTTTCGGTAAGTACTTTGAAGGTCTGAATTTCTGAATTTTAAATTATATATTATATTTAAATATTCTTTATTGGACAAAAATGACATTGTCAGCAAATTTCTTTCAATAGTGATGCATATACTTTATAAAGAAATAAGAAGAACCAATTTGAGCATCGAGAGTCTAAAGAATTTAAAAGATACTATTTTGACATTGAACATTTTAATACTACTTTATTAAAATGACGGTTTCCCCTATAACTCTACTAGGTCATTGATCTGGGTGGTGAGGCACTTACAAGCAGTGAGTACTTTGGAAATGGCCGTGTGACAGAATTCAAATATGGAGCAAAACTGGGCACAGTTATCCGCAAGTGGAATGGAGAGAAGATGGCCTATTTAAGGTAAATACATCATGCTTTGTTATTGTGTCTGTCACTTATGTGTTATTACCCCAATACATTATCATATTCTAATTTATTAAATATTTATCAAGAATTAGCTATCAAGAAGGTTCACTGCTGTCTAAATTACAATTAATCATCTGGAATTAATTATTTTCATTCTAATTGTCAATAACAAGAGGGCATCTAGAAACACAAAATATCACCTAGAGATTTTTTTTTTTCTGTCTGAGATATGAGCCAACTAGAGTTTGGTAATTATAATCTGCTAAAGTCAAGATATTACTTTAAA